CCTTTGGGGATGTGCTCAGGTGGGCTGGCCCAAGGCTCAGGACCTGTCCCCAGAGGTAGGCCAACTCTCAGCCTGGTCATGGCTGTGCAGGCTGGCTGTGGAAAGTGTATGGGCTTGCTCCCAGCCCGTCCAAGAAACCATCAGGCCCTTTGTTCTCCATTTTTCTTCAGTAGCATGTTCTTTCAGTGTGGTTTTCTTGTCCCCTGCCCCCACCCCCATTTGCCCATATTCTACCATGGACAGCGGTGGGAGTGACAGCAGTAACAGGGACCCAGATTTCCTGCACCCTGACTGCCAGACTGTGGGCCCAGGGCCATGCCTGTACTAACATGCATCCTCCTTGTGGTGACTGTCCTGCTGTCATCCTTGAACCAGCCAGGGCATGGAGAGGTGGGGCAGGGCTTCTCGGGGAGTGGTGACCATCATCAAGTATTGTTCAAAGGGGTGGGATGTCAGCCTTCGCAGGTGAATGGGGTGCACTGATGTAGAGCCGGTAGAGGCCTTGGACAGTGGCTGCTGGAAACCAGGTCACAGCAGGTTTGGGGCTCCAGCTGGAAACGCGTGGCACAGACATGCCTGACATGTGCCTCTCTGGCTCTGGACAGAACCCTGGGACTTTGAGTTAAGGACGACTTGATTATATCACCACTGGAGCCCAGCGGTAGTTCTGCAGATATGTTTCTGTTTTTTAAGATTATTTTTAAAAATGTTTTTATTTCCTCTGGCCAGTATAATTTTTCATGGGGCTTTACTCTTTGATTTGAACTGGAAAAAATGTTCCCATTTTAAGACCTCTTAAAACATGTCTTTGGATTTATTGTCTGTACAAATGGAAATTCAGATAATAGTTCTGTTCATAACTGAAGAAAAACTGGAAAAGAAAATAAATTTCTTGCTACTTGGAGTGATAAACATGGTGAAGCGTATGCTGTATATCCTGGCAACAGAAATTCAAGGTCGGAAATAATTCCTTTCCTCCTGAATCTGCCTTCAGCTTCCCTGAGGAGAGCAGCGGCTGAAATTTGCTACTAATTGTAGCCATAATTTTAGCATGCAATTAAACACATGATTTCCTTCCCAGCTGATGTCTTTTTAGCTAGTCTGACATGGATAGAACAAAAGCCCTGTAGATTTAAATGGCCGCTTCAATTTGATAGGAGTTGAAGAAAAGTCACCATTGTTTGAGCACGTTTGGCTGCGCGATAGGGCTGTGGTTAATCTTGCCTGTAAAAATGGCAAACAGCTTGGGTGCTTCTAATGTAGTTTCTAATGCTGCTGCCTGAGCATTGAAGAGAACCAGCCGTTGGTATGCCCATTTTGCTAAGACCCTCCATGAGGTAAGGATCAGTGGAGGGAGTGATACTGGGGAGAGGAGTCCGAGATGGAAATTGTGTGGTTGTGGTGGCAGGAGCAGAGGTGCATGGAGGTCACCTCATGCGGTAGTGGTCTGGTGTCTGAGGGAGCCCAGGACCTGAGAGCAGAGCCGCTCTCCAGGAAGGGAGCCAGGGAGGCCCCAGGCTGGCCTGCCCTGGCCTAGTGTGTCTATTTGGTGCTTTTCTTTTCCTTGGTCTCTCTCAGAGGGTCATCTGCTCTGTAAAGGATGTTTTGTGTGAAATTGGGGCTCCTTGCCCAGGGGAGTTTGGGAACTACCAGGGTAAAGAAACTAAATAGGTTTCTCTACTCAAGGACATCTTTTTTTTTTTTTAATATTTTATTTATTTGACAGAGAGAGACACAGCGAGAGAGGGAACACAAGCAGGGGGAGTGGGAGAGGGAGAAGCAGGCTTCCCGCTGAGCAGGGAGCCTGACGCGGGGCTCGATCCCAGGGCCCTGGGATCATGGCCTGAGCCGAAGGCAGACACTTAACGACTGAGCCACCCAGGCGCCCCTACCCAAGGACATCTTGAGAGTCTGTTACATGCTGCTGTGCTTTGTGATTCTCTGAAGGAGAGTTCAAACAAATGTGGTTTTCCAAAAGTATGTGACTGTAGCATTCTTTGTTCAAGGAATACGTGGCAGGGCACAGTTTGGGAAGCATGGTTATGGTTGTATGGAACCTCTTGAACAGGACTTTTTATAACAATGAACATGAACAAGCCTTGAACATGACTTTTTATAACAATAAGAGCAAATGCTGATTTTACACACACCGTGTGTGAGCCGTCGTCCCAAGCACTTGCATGCACGGTCTCATTAAATTTTCCCCATGTTTTAGGTCCTCTTGTTAGCATCCCTGTGATACAGGCAAGAAACTGAGCCATTGGGAGGTTAAGAAAGTTGTCCAAAGCCTCAGAGTTTGTGAGGGCTGGGCCTGTCCCTCTCTTCCAGCCTGTGTGCTGGTTGTCCTTCAAGTCCTGCACCCTGTGTAGCCTCATCCAAGAAGCCTTTCTGATTCCGTCCCTCCCCAAGGAGGACTCGGACCCTTCTCTGGTCTCCAGAGCCAGAATCCCTCAAGGTCTCTGCCATACTGCATTGTCACCACGATGTGCCCAGCTGTCCCCCATCCTGGACCACAGGGTTCATGAGTGCCAGGGCTGTCTGTGCCTGGGAGCTGAGTCTGTGGTCTCTAGCACCATGCCTGGCATATGGTTGCTGTGAGTGAAAAGCAGTGAGTGGTTTTCACATGTGGACTGGGTCTCATATGCTCTCTTTGTTCCTTAATGGTAGGTGGCAGCAGAAGAGTTCCTGATAGTTCTGTTTCTGAGGACTCATACTATTTTAATTCTGGACCCAACTCTTTTCTTACTTTGGATTTAAATTGATAAATTTAATATGAGTAAATTTAATTGATAAATTGTCAAGACCAGTGTGTCCCCTGGAGTAAGTGTCTGTATGTGTCATCGGCAGTGTTTAAGCCCGGGGCTTATCAGCGGTACTTGGATGGATGGAGTCAACATTCTCATACTCCACGGCATCATCTCTAAAGGCGTATTCTTGGCTTTCTTTATAAATGTAATTCAGCATTTGGGGATTGGTCAGACATGATTGAGTGGGTTTGGGTGTTAGCAGGTTTGGACCAGGACGCAGAGAGGAGCTCTTTCCGGGGCAGCCCGTGGCCATTTTGAAAGGAATCCTAGGGAGCCTGGGATGGTTCGCACCGTGAGGGAGCAGGCCCTCCCTCCCTTCCCACCTCACCCTTTTCCTTTTATAGTTAACTTGTTTGAAAATTTTGATTATGAAACATACAGAAAATAGATGCTAGTGTACTCACTACCCAGCTAGTCATGTTGGTCTGAGGTCTGTCTCTCTCAAATCCCACCATCCCCTGCCTTCTCTTCGGTATGAATGTGGTTCTTGTCCCGTGTTTGGCTTTTCTCTTTCCTGCTCATGTTTTTTTCATTTATATATATATATATCTCCATAAATAATATAACTTGTTTTGGATATTTGAAAGTGTCATATAAATGAATAAATGGTTTAAAATGATATGTCTTTGTTGCAAGTTACTTTTTTTTTTAAAGATTTATTAATTTAGAGAGAGCATGCACATGTGCACACATGCAAGTGGGGGGAGGGGCAAGGGGGGGAGAGAGACAGAGATCTGCAGTGGACTCCCTGCTGAGTGTGGACCCCCCCAACATGGGGCGTGATCCCATGACCCTAAGGTCATGACTTGAGCTGAAATCAAGGGTCAAACCCTTAACCAACTGAGCCACCCAGGCGGCCCAGCAAGTGACTTTTTAAATATCACATCATGTGTGAGATTTGCCTTGTTGACCCATGTGGCTGCCACATAGTATTCCACTGAGGAATTAGAGTTTATGCATTCATCCCCCCAGTGAGGGACAGATTCTGTCCATTTTTTCTGTTATAAACACTGCCAGACTGAACACCCTCGAGCATCCTTTTTTTTTTTATGTTATGTTAGTCACCATATAGTACATCATTAGTTTTTGATGTGGTGATCCATGATTCATTGTTTGCTCCATGCAGTACGTACCCTCCTTAATACCCATCACCGGGCTAACCCATACCCCCACCCCCTCCCCTCTAGAACCCTCAGTTTGTTTCTCCGAGTCCATAGTCTCTCATGGTTCATCTCTCCCTCCGATTCCCCCCCTTCATTTTTCCCTTCCTTCTCCTGATGTCCTCCCTGCTATTTCTTATGTTCCACAAATAAGTGAAACCATATAATAATTGATTTTCTCTGCTTGACTTATTTCACTTAGCATAATCTCCTCCAGTCCCATCCATGTTCATGCGAAAGTTGGGTATTCATCCTTTCTGATGGCTGAGTAATATTCCATTGTGTATATGGACCACATCTTCTTTATCCATTCATCTGTTGAAGGGCGTCTTGGCTCTTTCCACAGTTTGGCTATTGCGGACATTGCCGCTATGAACATTGGGGTGCATATGGCTCTTCTTTTCACTACATTTGTGTCTTTGGGGTAAATACCCAGGAGTGCAATTGCTGGGTCATAGGGTGGCTCTATTTTTAACTTTTTGAGGCACCTCCACACTGTTTTCCAAAGTGGCTGTACCAACAGTGTAAGAGGGTTCCCCTTTCTCCACAGCCTCTCCAACATTTGTTGTTTCTTGCCTTGTCAGTTTTTGCCATTCTAATGGTATCTTGTGTAAGGTGTACCTTACACCTTGTAAGGTGTAAGGTGTAAGGTGGTACCTCAATGTGGTTTTGATTTTGTGTAAGAATTTCTGAGTAGACTCACCAAGGTGGAATTCCAGAGTTGTAGAGTTTGTTCAAGCATCACAATGCCCCCCAAAGTGGTTAAATCAATTTACCTTCCCCCCATTCTATAGTCCTGTAAGCCCACATTTCCCGACCCTGGTGTTCCCAGATCTTTTCATTCTTGCCAAGTATGTAGGGCTTACAGTGGCACCTCTCCTGTTTAATTTTGCATTTCCCTCCCTACTTACGGTGTTGACCACCTTTTCCTGTGTTTACTGGCTAGTCCTACTCTTCATGTTTCTGATTACATTGATCTAGGTGACTTTTTAGAAAGAGAAACCTCTCATAACTGTTTGTGTTGCTCTTTCAGATGGCAAGTTTGGTGCCTACATGCAAGTCCACATTCAGAATGATGGGCCTGTGACCATAGAATTGGAGTCCCCGGCTCCTGGTGCTGCTACCTCTGACCCAAAGCAGGTAAGCCTGGACTCTGTTGGGGTCTGTCTCCTGGCTTTTAGCTTTGATTGAGTCCCTCAAGCAGTTCTCAGTCTGAGGTGGAGGAAAGACTTCATTGTAGCAACCTAATATCTCTTTTAATACATCCCTTCCCAAGAATGCATCTGTTTACACTGCATCTCCTTGGTGCTGTGGTAGGCTGGACAGCACTTCTCCCTTACCTCTTCCTGACTTTGGATTCCAGAGAAAATGTCCTTTCCAAGAGCCCAGCTCTTCCCCGCTGCGAGGTGCCTTAGCCCCCACATGCCACTGGGTGGCAGCAGAGTAGTGGCACAGCTCCGCTGAGCCCTGACCTGGCCTCTGCACGGGTTTGGAACAGTTACCAAGAGTGGGTTTTGTCCCAGGTGTGGGTACCTGTGCCTCCCGAGGTTCTTTGTAAATCCTTATTTTTCTAAAGTACTGTCTGACCTGGATTTGCTGCCAGCTCTCTAAGCTTTGAGGAAGAATTTTAATTAAAATAGAGAAAGGACATCTGTGATAGTTTTTGCAACCTGTATGGTTCTTATAGATGCTTAACACTTCTTGAGGCTTTAATTAATGTGTCCACTTAATAGCCTTCGAGACACGTGGGAGCAGGCAGAGGAGTGAGAACCGAAGGGACATTTCTGTTCTTCCTTCTCCCCTTACCCTCCCTCCCTTCCTAGGATGCTGTGAAGTGAAATGATGCAGTAAGTGGGGGAAGTATTAGATAAATATAAAGCTGTATGACCTGTTCAAAGTTATAACGTTTCTTTCATTGATATTTATTGAATAAAATACTTTTGAGATACTCTTTTCACAAGAATAGAGTAGGAGAAGATAGCAGCCCATAGTCTGAATCCTTTTGGACAATGTCTGATATCAAAATAGTCCCCTGTCCAGCACGGGTCTGAGGACTGGTTGCCTCATGCATCTGCCGCTGCAGAACTTCTTACGAAGATGTTATTGTGACAGCCAGTGGGACAGAGTACTAACTCTGTCAGCCTTACAAAATAGCTGATGTGAATTATTTTGTGCCTACTTGCTTATAAATTCACATTTTAAATATGAAGGTCTGTGTGTATGGCCGAAGTTGATCTAAGACTTGCCATCAGTATAACCTGATACCGTCCAGAGTAGGATAGCAGACTCTCCTCCTCTTTGGGTGCTTACTGTTATCAACCGAGAAAAACCTAATAGTTATGCAAAATCAGACTGGTTTAAGTCAATTCACAGCCTGCAGTTGATGGTCCTCTCCAATGCAGAAAGCTAAAAGGAAACTCCTGCCACCCCACCTCCACACATTCCCTCTGTTTTCTTTTTTCCTAAATTCATGGGATTACCATTTACCTTGTCAGCCAGGCCCAAATCTCGTGTCATCCTAATTTCATCCCTGCCTCTCCCAATATAGTTTCCTATGTGCTGATGCTGCTCTAATGTTTCTTTTTTTTAAAATGTAGTAAGTAATTTAATCTTTATCATAGGGTATGATGAGGAAATAGGGGCACCATGCTTAAGCAGTAACTTAAGGTCACATAGCTGCTAAGAGGCAGAACCAAGAGGCAAACCCAGTTTTCAAAATCAGGAAGCAAAAAATTATTGCCTAAGATCTGAGGTCACTGACATTGTTTTTTGAAGAGAAATCTAATAGTCTCTGAATGCTTGCCACCTCCCAGCCATTTTTGGAGAAAAATGCCTGTGGTTCCTGTGCTTTGGGGGCCGTGGTTTATTTTTATTTTTAAAATTTTTATTCCATTTATTGAAACTAAAAAAATAAGCAGTTTACCCGTGGGTGATTTTTTTGTTTCTTTGTTTGACTGTTTTGTTTTGTTTTTTTCTTAGTTCCAAGTTATTATTTTTAAGGGGAACATAACCTTTCTTACTTGTTGCTGATACTTTGGGTTGATAGAGAAGCAGGAACATGTCTTATATAGTAGTGCTGGACTTCAAAGGTGGTAATTGAAGTTCCTGGAATAACTGTAACATTAAAGAAAATCACAAGTGAAAAATCCACATGAAAATTTAAATGTTTTATTTTTATTTATTTATTTATTTATTTAAAAGATTTTATTTATTTATTTGACAGAGAGAGACAGTGAGAGCAGGAACACAAGCAGGGGGAGTGGGAGAGGGAGAAGCAGGCTTCCCGCTGAGCAGGGACCCCCGATGTGGGACTCGATCCCAGGACACTGGGATCATGACCTGAGCCGAAGGCAGACGCTTAACGACTGAGCCACCCAGGCACCCTAAATGTTTTATTTTGAAATAATTGGAGACATGAGGAGAAGTTGGAGTCACAGTTCCGCTGGACGCTTTACCCAGCTCCCACTAACTTTATTGCCTTACATAATCATAGTACACTGATGGAACGCTGAGATTAATACTGATGTAATATCGTTAATTGATGGAGGAATGTTGGGGTTTGGAGCCAATGGCCAAGAAAGAATTCTTGAGACGTCTTCAGTGCAAAAAGGGAGTTTAATTAAAGCATGGGGACAGGACCCGCGGGCAGAAGGAGCTGCACTGGAGTTGTGAAGAGCAACTGATGATATACGTTCAAGTTGGGAGGGCGCTGGTAAGTCTCTAAGGAATTTTGGAAGCAAGGATTCCAGGAACCAGAGGGGGCTAGCTATTGTTAGTAAAAGGTCATTTATTACCAGTAAAACCCTAGTCATGAGACCCGGTAGATGGATATCAGTGGGCCATATGCTTGGAGGATGATTGCTAACATGTATCTTGGGGGTAGAGATAAAGGAAATTTCGAAACGAATTTTTATATGTTAAAGGATCTGGGAGGTTGGGATAAAGTTAAGCTGAGATTGTCTTTTGCCCTTAGCAAAGTATTAACATCCAGGCAGCTGAGTTCCTACAGGAATGTCACTCTGCCTGTTTCAAGGACGTGTCAGGGGGCTGTGAATAGTGAGGAAATTTTAACTTTTCTTTTGCCTTTGTTTCCCACATCATTAACTACACTACAAACCTTACTTAAATTTCACTAGTTTTTTTTTTTTTTTTCTTCTAATGTCCTTTTTTTATTTCAGGGTAATCAACATTGCATTTAATTGTTATTTCTCTTCTCTAACCTGTGACAGCTCCTCAGTCTTTCCTTGTCTTTCATGACCTTAACGATTTTCAAGAGTACTGGCGTTTTGTTGAAGATTCCTCAGTTTGGGCTCTCTGATTACACTGAGGTTATGTGTTTTGACAGGAATATCAAATAGCACAATAGTGATGTGCCTTTCTCAGTGCATCATAGAGAAGTACATGAGACTGATCTGTCTTATTACAGGTGGTGTTAACCTCGATCCCTTGGTTAAGATGAAGTCGGCCAAATTCTCCACCCTACGTGGAGTATTATTAACCTTTCCCCCTCATCTGCTCTATTGCTTGTTCATAACAGATGGCTGTCTTTCTGCTTCACAAAGAAGCCATCGGATGGCATTGACCTTGCTTCTCCACCCCCCTCTTCCTGTGTATGTAGCAGAGCTGCCCTTCTTTGTGCTGAGGCCAGTGCCTCCCCTGGGCCAGGACTGCCTCTATAATTTGTGGGGCCCAGTGCCAAATGAAAATGAGGGGGCCCCTTGTTAAAAAATTATAATGAATTTCAGGACAGTCACAGCGGATCATGAAGCCAAGGGTGAGCCCTTCTACAAGCAAGGCCCTGTGAGCCTGTATCTGGTGGAGCCAGACCAGCCTGGGGTGTGGCGCCCCTCCCGGCCTCCCCTTTACCTTCCTGGCAGCCTCCATTAAGCCCTTTGTCCTCTTGTCTGGTCAGTCTGTCTCTCTCACTCATCCAGCTAATTCCTGTGGCTTTTAAATATTCCCGAGCATTCCAGTTGAGAAATGCCTCCATTTCCTTTCTGCTTGCCGCCTGCTCAGTGTACTGTAATCTGCAGAGGCTCCTGCCCAGGCCCCCTGAGCTCCATGTTGCCTGATTCCGTGCCTGGTAGGCACTGATCTGGCCGCTCAGCAGCTCCTACCACTGTTGCCGCTTGCATGGTCTTGAATCTTGTTTTCTGGGACACCGGTGGTTCTCTCCCAGTTTCCTCTTGCCTCTGCTCACTCTCTCTAGTTTGGTGTGATTGCTGTCTTGTAGTTCTGATCTATTAGTCTGCTTTAACTCTATTTGGAGAAAAATTTTAGTCCAATTTGTGTTTTCATTCTAAATCAGTGCCTCCTCTTTATAACATAAAGATATATAAGCATGATTTCTTTTTAACATCTAATGAGGCATGCTAGCTTATTAGAGTAAGAAAGTCTTTTTTTTTTTATTGTTTTATTTTTAAGTAATCTCTACACATGTGGGGCTTGTACACCTGTGGGGCTTGAACTCACAAACCTGAGATCAAGAGTCACGTGCTCCACTGACTGAGCCAGCCAGGCGCCCCAAGAAAGCCTTTTATTTTAGTTATTTCTGAGTCTTTCTTTTAGGAACGTTCTCTTCAAATGCATGTATTATGCTGTATTAATTTCATTTGTTTTACTCGTTAACTGGCCCCGGAGTCTCAGACCCTGTGACTGCGCGCAGATCTGTGTCCTCTCGCTCTCCAGTAGGTGGCGACAAGTAGACATGCAAGGGCCCTGGTGATGGTGGGGGCCAGCCTCTTTGCCTGTGGTCCGTCTCTGCCTTTCCATTCTCAGGAAGACTGGGTGTTACACGCAACTAATGAATCATTGAACCCTACATCAAAAACTAATGATGTAGTATATGCAGGCTAAGTGAACATAATAAAAAAAAATAAGGGGGTTCCTCTTTGGGCAAATAGCTAATTTGCTTGCTTTTGTGTTGGTAGGAAGACTGCAGCCAAATTGTTTTCACTGATAGATAAGCATGCCTTTTTATCAGTTGAGCTTTTAATTCCAAATGTTTTATTTTCTCAATATAATCCAATTAGTAGTGAAAACTATGTACATTATAGAGAAATAGTTCTTTTGGCAAGTTTTAAAATACAGGTTCTTTAGGGGCTGCCTTCAGCTCAGGTCATGATCCCGGAGTCCTGGGA